CCCCGATGTATGCCATTTGGGTTGGGTTTTCGTCACTTGGCAACGACGTTGTAAAACAAGCCGATCGCTTCGTGAGCTCAACTAGGTTATTGTTTGTTTTTTTTTCCTTGATTTTTTTTTGGATAACCCTAATGGTGATCGAGTAGATCATGTTGTGCTGGGTCGAGGACGCTCACTCCGCGCAAAGGGGATGATCGCACCACGTTGTGTTAAACTGATCAAGCACCCTAGAGGCAGTGACACAGTGATCATAACTGTCTCTGGAAGTGGAAGCACCACAAAACAGTTCGATTCATTCGCAGCTGTCATCCGGTGCAAGGAAGTAAGCGAACACCCTCAGAATGATGCAGCTCACCCTCCATGCGACTCGCCGAACACCTCATGGTGCTGCGCGCTTGGTGCTGTGAGAGCCTGGTCCGGTGAGGACCCGGCGTGCTCCGTCCCGGCTTTGTGGGGATGCGAGGTCAATGGTCTAACGACTACGGCATGCACGACTATGAGTATGAGTACATCCCTACATCTGCATGCAAAACATGAGCCCCCCAAGTATACGGAATGTTGAAGGAATAGGGTTCAAGGGTTACCTACATGGACCAATGGATGCAGGAACAAAGCTTAAGGTCAAATTCAGGACCGGGGACATAAGCCTTCGAGAACGTCGACGAAGACATTGGACGGTAGACGAGGACGACGACGAGTTCAAATGTGATTGCGGCTTCGAATGCGAAGACCGTGTTCATGTAGTCGCGGAATGTCCGTTGTACAAGAAGGAGAGGGAAGTGACGTGACTGAGCTGGGAAAAATCGATGGGACGTCGTTAGGATAGACAGACTAGGGCAGACATTTTTGAGCCACCTTTGGCAAAGTAGAAAGGAACGATTGGCCATCGGTGATGGTCCTGTGGGAACACTGCTTTGCCCTCTCGAGGACGCGTGGTCAATGGTCTAACCGCTAAGGCATGCAAAACATAAGAGTACGCCCCCGCCCCCCCCCCTTCCCTTCCGCCGAATATTTTTCTGATGTCTCGCCGTACTGTACACACCGCGCTTTGTATGTACACGTCTTGCCTTGTCTTTGCGCGTCCGACTGGCGCAGGGCGCGGTGATGAAGGCCGGGCCGTGGGAGCCGTACGTGGTGTTCGACCGCAGGAATACCGGCAAGAGCAAGGGCGAGGAGTACGTGCCTCTCGGCACCTTCGACGACGACCCCGATGCCGAGAACATCACGCCGCTGTGGGGTAGCGGCACCTCGTGATCTGTCGTCTGCGTGCATGTATGAACGATGACAATAACAAACGTGATAGTGTTCCAAACGATGTGAAACGGTGGAGTTTGTTGTGCATCGACATTCATGGGTCGTCTTGTGTTCGTTGATTGTTGGAGGCGACCGGCGAAATGCGAATGATGCGCCCAGTTGGGGGGGGGGGGTCAATTTTCTCCCGTCTAGATTATTGGTGAGCCGAACGATGGGGGATCTTGTTGTGTACGGGCGGTCTTCATATTTCGCCAAGCGCAACTAATTTTCTCACAACCGTACCACAGTACAGGTACTGCAGATAGTGCCACACTACTATTTGCGCGGAAACAGCTGCGCCGGTCAAGGCACCCCGAGAGCGGTATGCGAGAGTGTGAAAAGTATGGGGGGGATTCCATCGCTCTAGACGGTCATGTAAGTAAGACGTTGCCTCGGATTTTTCCGCGCGCGGAGCTGAACTGCGCGGATGAACAACACGCTCCCTGCGATGGCTAAGCAGCAGGCACACGCGTTTCACCATGAGAGTACTGGTGGTTAACTTCATGGGTTAGGTTAGTGAGAAGGAGGTAGCGGGTCAAGCGCAGAAGCGGGCAGCTGTTGCTGCAGGGGGTGGGTGCTGCTCGCGGGTTGAATCTGCTCAAGCCATATGCTGCGGTATGGTGGTGAACGGACGTGGACGGGCCTAAAGACACTTGCGGCAGCAGTAAGTCATGCCTATGATCAGGTCTTGTTGCTGTGTGCGGATGTTGGTGTGGATTAGCAGGCATGGCTGTTTTCATCTACGTGTGCACAGATAGCATTTTCCAGGTTTGTAGCAGCCAGAGAAATGGCTAAATTCAATGTCTACACACACGGCAACGTTGGTGAAACTTTTATGCACATTAGCGCGATGCCCGGTTGAGGAAGCCTTGTTGAAAACAAAGCTTGGTTCGACCGGTAACTCGAAGATAAAACACGATCCCGAGCTTCGGGCACCAAGAGAGGTGGGGCTATCCGAAACTTGCAACCCGGGGGCAAAACACGTTCGGGAAGAAGATGACAGGAAAGGTAACGAAACGTCTAGTCCATGTTTAGTTCACCGCCAGGCTCAGACCGTGACAAAAGTTGCCAGGGGGGCAAGCTTAACGCCATCGCACATCGTTTTCAAGTCGACATCAAGGATTCGCGATAACGACCACAGTCACACGTTGCGAAGTGCGAATTTCTTCGTAGATGAGTGATCCGAGAGATTATCGTGAGCGCTGGGTGTTTCGCATGTGGATCAGAGAGCCGAGAGAGAGATGAGCTTGGACAATGGGCAAAAGGGTTGCCATGTATGACGGTCGTCTACTCCATGCCTGCAATCTCGCTGGATTGACCGGGAGCATGCACGTGGACTCAATCTTCCGGCCCCGATGAACCCGTGTTCGGATGTTGTCCACAAGAGGCAATCACCCAGCGACAAAGAAGAAATACAGGATGTGCATATGTAGTACGACACACTATCAATCCCGCCATTTGGTCGTGTCTGACATGCTTTCTCCTCGAGCATGTATTGCAAGTTCACCTTTGGGAGACCGTATCCTTCGTCGTTTTCTGCACGCACTCGCGCTTCCAAAACAATTATCCATCGATCATTTTCCACAGCCAGTAGGAGGCCCCGCGAAGGAAGGCAAAAAGGACACCCCCCCCAAGCACGTTAAGCGCGGCCATCTCGGTCCAACAAGCAGGCACGAAAAAAAAAAGAGGGGGAGGGGGGGAGGAGCAACTGGCACACACCGAACAAAACAAACAACTCACGAAGGGGAGCGGAGCAAGTATGCCCGCTGTCATCATCATCATCACAACAGTCGCAGCACGATCCCACAATCAGCCCCTCGCAAACCCAACACAAGAGTGGGCTCCAAACCGGCGACAGAAAAGCGTTGCATGCATCAATGCATAGAGACTGTTAGCTAAAAATGCGCGAATATGACGGAGCCTTCAGTACTAGGTACTAGGGGCATTCGAGATCTGCGAGGTAAATGAGCGCTAACTATCGACGAATCAACGCGAGGGGGGGGGGGTAGAAGCCCTGGACTAGAGTCCGAGGCGGGTCGAAGCAGAGGGGGCGTCGACCCCAAGCCATGCACGAACTTACGTGCGGTCGGCAAAGCGACAACCGTTGACTCAGCCAAATGTTACCATTAGCCTGCTTGCCAAACCGCCAACCGCAGCAGGGTCGACTCTTCCCGTCTGAAACCGAACACGACCCGAACCTATTCCACCCCCCGCCCATGACCTTCGCTACCAGCGCCTTCACTGACCGTTTCAATAATCCGTTGCAAGGAGGGCATATGGCGATACCGATACGGGTTTTCGAGAGCGAGAGGTGTACACGGACGATCCCCCCCCCAAAAAAAAATTACACAAAAAACACATTTTCCACGAGTGACTACAAACAAGCTACATGGAACTCGCGGCACACGACGAAAAGCAAACTGAAAAATACAGCAGTGTCACCGGCCGGCACGTTGTTGGCATGAGAACCATGCAGCAGCAGCAGCAGCAGCAGCAGCAGCAGCTAGCTTACCAGCTAACAAGGCCTACACTTGGACCGAGGGCACCTAAAAAAACGAATCAAAGAAACATCTACCTATAAGTTCGTCGAAGGCCAAAACAAACACACACGCTGGAACGCCCTCCGACGACACAACACACTACCGCTGCTGGTGCTGCATACGAACACAATTACAGGCCAACACACACACCCACGAGGCGCAAGCTAACCCTTGGCCACACCTAGACTAACGATGATAAATATATGGGATTGCCGTTTGTTTCTCTATTCTGTAGCTTGTCTCGAGGCACACGATACACACACAATGCACCGACCACCGAGGCTTCGCCGTATGCACGCGCAGAGAAGCCGTTCACAGCAAAAAAGACAACAGTCGGTACAAACGGTAAGCACACAACCAGAGGAAGCCGTCTCCTCGCACACCCGCGGCAACATATCGAAAAGCAACAATCGAAAAAACACGGCGATCCGCCATGGTGCCACATGGCACGGCGGGAACGACAACCAGAAAAACGGTTTCAACCGGTGATACACGACGAACGCCTGACGGTTGGCTGGGAGACCCCGCGACCGCGGTCACGCGACTTGGCCCGGCTGGTGGTGACGGTGATTCATCTCGTGGTGCCCGAGGTCCTCCGGCTTGACCAGCAACCTCTCGAAGTGCTTCTTCGCCGCCTTGATGTTGAGCTCGGTGGTGGCCTTCTCGACCAGCGGACTCGTCGTCACCACCATGATGTACGTGTTCTCCGTGAAGTCGCTGATGAACACCGTAAAGTTCGAGTTCTTCACCTGGTGAAACGAACGGCACGGAAACGAGCCTTGGTTGGGAAGGGTAGGAAAGTGTGCCACAGCCCCATCTGCCAGCAGGAGGTGGCTCGCAAACGCGCGGCGCAGCCGGGTTTACCGAGTGAAAAATGGCCTGCTGCTTGAGGTTGCATCAAAAACAAACATGCTCACCACGGAAGAATTCTAGCACACCGGTATCGAGCTCGTCTATCGAGATGGGCGAGACCACACCGACAGGGGAAGGTAGTAACTACACAAGAGCGACTCAAGTATATAGGGGTAGTTCACACGCGGAGACAGAGACAAGAGACAGAGACAGAGACAGAGACAGAGAGAAGGAGTCTCCACACACCGAAAATGGGTGTGCGTTCTTAAAGCAGGCCCTCGACGCCGAAAAAATACACGACCAACACCTCTTGAGGACGGCCTCGCTTGATACCAACACACAACCGAACGTCCATATACAAAACCAGTCTTATTATCGCCCTGAAGCTCGTCATGGTGCCTCATTGGCGATACATACCACATGCCTACATATCGACGCGAAGCCTCACCATCATTCCCTCGAACTTGAGGTTGGTTTTGCTGACGCTGAGCTTGAACTGCTTGACGATGTTGGAGATCTTCTCGAATCGGTGGACATCCGGGTGTCGGACCTGCGTCGCGTGCGCGATCACCAGGAACGTTTCCCTTTCGAACAAAACCACCTCATCGGCCCCGCTGGAAAACAAAACGAACAAAAAACACGCAAGACGCCAAAAAGAAAAGCGTAGAAACACGTGATGAACGCACAATCAGAAATGGTTTCGAGAGGAAAGAGACGCGTGTTGTGCTTGATGTACAACTCGGCGACTAGAATTTTCCAACGAAACGTGGTTGGCCTGACAAGAGAAGGAACACAGACAACGGCACGTGCTACAATAGCTGCTCGCCGTCAGAGAATTGTATCTGAGCCGCAATGCAGAGGGTAAACAATGGCGATTACAGAGAAGCGAACGTTAGCATGAAGGGAACAACGACGTCGTCATCAACAGCAGAATTGGTATCGACGACAACACTATGAACGACGACGACACCAACAACTACGACAGAAGAAGAGCATCGTGTTCTCACCAAATATCACAGAAGTTGTCGAGGTGGCTCTCGAGCACCTCCATGTTCGGGATAAGAGAGTACACGATCGAAGACCACGCCTAGCAGCAACAGAGGCAGCAGTAGCAGCAGCAGCAGCAGCAGCAGCAGCAGCAGCAGCAGCACAGGAAGAGGCAGAAGCAGCAGCAAAGGCGCTCCGTGTCAAGGCAACAAACGAACGGCGACAACAACAAAATCCCATGGCTGAAACGACCGAAGCAAAAAATATACATATATCTGTCGATTCAGACTTCTGGCGCCGCTAATTATGGCGCTAACGGTTTCGCCTCCCGCAAGATTTGCGTCGCAGAACAACCTTAACGTTGAAAAGAGCAAAACAAGTGCCATCACCACCACATGAACGTCACAATATGCAGCAAAGGAGCGGGACGAGCACGACAAACCATACGTGCCTACCCCCACGGTTCTCCTTGTCTGTACGCACAAAGGAGGCAGCAGTACCAACGACCACGACAAGCCATGCCAACGAAAACGGCACACTGCTGCCAATAAGCTTGGCAGCAGCAGCAGCAGCAGCGGCTGCAAACAACAGCAACAGTGACGACGACGAGCGTACAACACCACCGATCTGCCACACCGTAGTATCACCCCCAAGCCCCCGGGCACGAATCACTCGCCTTGTAAAGGGTCTCGTCCCAAATCGACGTCATGAAGAACGTCAGCTCCACGCCGCCGCTAACGTCCGAGATGACCTGCCTTCGGTTCAAGAAGACAACCTCTCGGTCTTCCTCGGTAACTAGATCCATCTTGTGGATCAGCACAAACACCCTGGGGGGGGGCAGCATGCGGGGAGAGACAGGGGAGGAACATTCCAAATTTTTTACAACGGGCATTCGATAGGCACGTTTCAAACTCTGTCGTTACTGACAGGGCCGACAATGGACATTCGATAGACACGTTTCAAACTCTATCGTCCCTGACAAGGCAGGCAATGGATATTCGATAGACCCGTTTCAAACTCTATCGTCACTGACAAGGGATGCTGATGAGATTTTTCGTGATCCATTGAAGCAACAACAGATGATGGTTCCGCTACCGTCCAGTGTGCCTCGTTTGTCGACGTTCTCGGGGAGCAGGGGGGGTGACAAAGTAGACCCTCGCATCGGCACACATCACTGGACGGCCGCACGCCATGACAACACGTTTGGCGGCATATTTTGCCACATAGGTTAGGGATCTAGGCTGCACATCGCTTCGGAGAAATAGGGGGAAAGCGGGAGGCAGCTACCGCCTTGGAAGCGAGTGCAGACAAGTGCCAACATACAACATCTCTACACGTTAAGCACAGGGACGTGCGTTAACGGGTTTTGCTCTACAGCCAGCAGCTACGCCATCGCCTAACAGCACATCGTACCAACCTTTTGGTTGTACAGCGGCGCGGAGCTATCGGGGCTCTCCTTCGATTGTCACCGTGCAACGTTGTGTATGGCATCTACGGAAAGAGAGCTTTCCGCCTCCCAACGTGAGCTCCCATCTAACGTTAGTCTTCCAACCCACACGAGATCCAAACACACCTCCACCGCGGTGTCAATGTTACAACATCAGAGCGCTTTCCGCCCCTTCAAAGGGCTCGAGAGCTCCTCCCACAAACGCGCTTATTCTTACTCCACAAGCGGGTCTTCTTCGCACCAAATTCAGTCGGGTGCGAGGCAACTCGTCAGCGGTCAAATCAGCAACGAAAATATCGTACCTCGCATCTGAGGAATTCCGGTCCACCGCCTCCAACACCCCCCGGTATCGCTCAAGGTCGCCGGTAACGTCATCGCTCATTACGTCGAAGACGTAGATCAACACCTTCCCAGCCGAAACGCACGAAGGATAGCACCGGAGGCATTGTTACTAGTAGTTCAACGGAGGCTTCAACGAACGACGAAATATGCACACGTGCGAGAACACAATTCGAAGCTTAGCCCGGGGGGGGGG